TATGATCCTGTCACTCACGATGTTGTACTTCAAGATGGATCTAGAAATAACTTTTTTTTTGCGATAAACATAGGTGTGCATATATCTGCTTAGGTGGCAGTTAAGGTCTCTTTGGGGTATATTCCCAGTAGTAGAATTGCTGGGTCAAATGGTATCTCTATTTGAGATACCAACTTTTTGAGAAAGCACCACACCGCCTTCACAGTGGCTACACCATTTTACACTCCCATCAACAGTGAATAAGGGTTCCAGTTTCTCCACAACCTCGCCAGCATTTGTTCCTTTGCTATTCTCACTGGGGTGAGATAATATCTCATAGTTGTTTTGATTTGCATCTCTCTTAGAGCTAGTGATCTTGAACATGTGCTTGTTGGCCATCTGAATGTTTTCTTTGGTGAAGTGTCTGTTCATATCCTGTGCCCATTTTTCAATTGGATCATTTACCTTTATCTTGTTGTGATACTCAGGTATTTTATAAATTCTAGATATAAGTTCCATATTTGACATGCCATTACCAAATACTTCTTCCCTGTCTGTGGCTTCCATTTTTACCCTGTTGGAGAAGTTTTTGAATCTGCATAGGGATTTGATTCTTTGAAAGTACCATTCATCTATTTTATCTTCTCCTGGTTATAGATTTTTCAGGATACTTGGAAGATTGTTTATGTTGTGTATTAAGACTTCTAGAGTTCTTCCTAGTTTTTCTTTAATGAAGATTATAGTCCTTGGTTTTAGTCGTAGGTACATGATCCGTCTTGAGTTGGTTTTTGTATATGGAGTGCGGTGTGGATCTTGCTTGAATCTTCTACAGATAGTTTTCCAATTTTGCCAACACCATTTGTTAAAAAGCTTGTCATTTCCCCACTTATTTCATCTCCTTGTCAAAAATCAGTTGACTACAGGTAGATGGGCTGATTTCTGGATTCTCAATTCTATTCCATTGATCTATGTGTCTGTCACTGTACCAGTACCATGCTGTCTTAACCACCACAACAGTGTAGTAGGATTTGAAATCAGGGAATGAGATGCCTCCTACCTTTCTTCTATTTTTAAGGAGTGCTTTCCTTGTTTGGGGACTCTTTTCAGTACAAATGAAACTGTAGATTGCCTTTTTCATCTCGTTGAAGAATGGGATTGGTCTTTCTACTGGGATTGCATTGAATGTGTAAATTGCCTTTGGCAGTATTGTCATTTTCACAGTACTGAGTCTTCCTATTCATGAGCAAGGGATATTCATCCACTTCTCCAGGTCTCTTTTTGTTTCTTGTTGTAATGTTTTATAATTTTCTTTGAGTAGATCCTTTGTGCTTCTGGTTAGATTTACTTCCAAGTATTTAATCTTGTGATTAGCTATTGTGGAGTGCATTGTTTTTCTTAGCTCTGGCTCTATATTCTTTTTATCACTGAGGAGAAATCCAACTGATTTTTGTATGATGATCTTGTATCCTGCCACTTTGCTGAATTGGTCAACTATGTCCAATAGTTTTCTTGTTGAGTCTTTAGGGTTTTCTAAGTATACTATCATATCATCTGCACAGAGAGATAAATTTACTTCCTCTTTGCCAATTTGGATGTCTTTTATTTCCTTCTCTTGTCTTATTGCTATCACTAAGACTTCCAATACAATATTGAAGAAGAGAGATTACAGTAGGCATCCTTGCCTAGTTCCTGTTCTTCAAGGGAATGCCTTTAACCTTTCTCCATTGAGAACAATATTGGCTCTCGGATTTGCATAAATACTTTTTACTATGTTGAAGAAATTCCCCTCTATTCCTATTTTGTTGGGTGTTTTAATCAGGAAAGGTGTTGGATTATGTCCAAGGCCTTTTCTGTATCAATTGATAGGATCATGTGGTTCTTGTTCTTTGCTGTGTTAATGTGATGAATTACATTAATTGTTTTCCTTATGTTGAACCATCCTTGCATATCTGTTATGAATCCCTCTTGGTCATGGTAAATTATTTCTTTGATGTATCGTTGTATTCTATTGGCCAGTATTTTATTCAGGATTTTTGCATTTATGTTCATGAGAGATACTGGCCTATAGTTTTCTATTTTGATAGTGTCCTTTCCTGGCTTTGGTATCAAGAATATGTTTGCTTCATAGAATGAGTCTGGGAGAATTCCATCTTTTTCTATTCTCTGAAATGGTTTATGTAGAATTGGTAAGAGTTCTTCTCTGAATGTTTGATAAAATTCACTTGTAAAACCATCTGGTCCAAGGCTTTTTTTTTTTTTTTTTGGCTGGAAGCCTTCTTTTCTCTTGACTTATATGTGTGGGAAGAAAGATGAAGAAAATCCTGAGCTTTTGTTTTCTTGATGTTGACATGTAATTTATATTGAAGGCTGCAGTCTTTGGGCAAGTGATTCAGCAAGGATCCAGAAATACTTACTGCAGAAAATAAAACAAAACAGCCTTCAATATGCATTGCTTCTCAACATCAGGAAAACAATAATTCTCACCACTAGACTGATAGGCAAAATCATGATATATTGGAAAAAAATAAAACGGAAACAGTCAACAATTTCATGTTATTTGAATTCACAATCAATACACTTGGTACCAGCAGTTAGGAGGTCAGTAGATGTATTGCACTGGAAAAGTCTGCAGTCAGGGACCTCTTCAAATTACTGAGGAGCAATGATATTAGATTGAGAACTAAGGTGCATCTGATTCAGGCCATAGCCTGTTTAATTACTTGCTATGCTCCTGAGAGCTGAACAATGAATAAATATGACATAAGAAAAATTGGTACCTTTAAACTGTGGTGTTAGAGAAGAGTACTGAATAATTCATGAACTACCAGAAGAACAAATACATATGTCCTGGAAAAGGTGCAGCCAGAGTGCTCCTTGGAGGCAAGAATGGAGAAGCCTCATTTCAAATACTTTAGGCATGCTGTTATGAAAGTCTATTCTTTGAAGAACAACATTATGCTTGGAAAGGTAGAAGGATAGTGAAGGAGAGGAAGACCTAGACAGACTGACACAATGACTGTCACAATGTGCTCAAGTGTGTCAGAGGTTTTGAGGTTGGCACAGGAAAGGACAAGGCTTAGATCTGTTGTTCATAGGGTCACTCTGAGTCATTCTCAACTCAGTGGCATCTAACAACAACAAAATAATACCTGGAAAATAGTAGTTGCTCAATTAATGTATTGTATCCTGGATGAAAGCAGAAAATACTAGAAAGATGTTTGCTGGTTTTTCCTTGATTATATCAAACCATTGACTGTGCAAATCATAGCCAATATGGACACATTGAAAAGAATGGGAATCTCAGAACACTTAATTATGCTAATACCAAAATCTTTGTAAATGTTCACTAAAATTAATTTAAAAAAAAAAACAAAACCCAAGAAACATTTACATAGATGAAGAAATATTTATCTGTACAGAACAAGGGAAGGCTTCATGGTCAAAATAAGAAAGGATGTGTGCCAGGATGTTATCTGCTGAGCAAATAATTGAAAAGCTGGACTAATGAAGAAGAATATGACATCAGGATTGAAGGAAGATTCATCTAAAGCCTTCATTGATACAGCCATTCATACAGACAGTGAGAAAGATTTAAAGCACTTGGTGTAGAAGCCCAAAGACTAAGCATTCAATATGAGTTACACATCAATGTCAAGAGTGAAAAATCCACACACTGAACCGATAAGGAACATCATGACAGATGGAGAAAAAAAATCGAGGATTTCATTTCTCTTGAATCTTCAGTCAACATCCATAGTAGCAACGGTCATGATATCATAGGATGTGTTGCACTGAGGATATTTGCTGTCAAGTAACTCTCTAAAGCTCTAAAGAACAAGGGTATCAGTTTAAAGACTAACATGTGCCTGATCCAAACCATGATCTTTTCAATTGTTTCCTATGCAGCCTAAATTGGACAGTGAGTAAAGAAGATCAGAGAAGAATTGATGCCTTTGAATTGTATTTTTGGTGGAAAGTATCAAATATACCATGGACTGGCATAAAAGGGCAAACAAATTTGTCTTGAAGGAGGTGCTACAAGGGTGCTCTTTAGAGACAAGGACTCACTTTATTTGGACATATTCTCAGAAGAAATTAATCTTTGGAGTGAGATATGCTGGGCAAAGTTGAGAGTCTGAGAAAAAGAGGAAGACCCTCAACAAGATGGATTGACACAGTAACTGCCCCAATGAGCTTAAAGTTGACAGAGATTGTGAGAATAGTGCAGTATAAGGGAGGCTTCAGATCTATTGTTCATAGGGTCTCCTGAATCATAGTTGACTTACCCACCCCTAACAACAATAACTTCAACAATAACTACTCAAAGTTTTATGAGGACATGACTGACTTGATTGAATATACAGGTTAACCAGCACAAACTGATTCTTAGAGTCCATCACATCTCTAACCCTCAGGTGATTACAATTCTGTCACGTTCCACCTTCAAGAGGGAAAATGGAGAAACCACGTGTGAGCAGCAGCATTGTGGTGAAGATTCTTCTGGAGTGAGATCATGCTAACATCACAGGAAGCCTCAGCCCCAAGGGGAATCCAAACCCATCATGTTATAGAGAGAAAAACTCAGACCTAAATGAGCAGAGGCATGAAGTCAAATTAATATCATTAAGTTGCCTTCTCCATAACCTCACCCACCATACAGGTTCTCTTACCACTCCAGCCCCATGCCTTTGTCATCAATGAGATTCCATAACACCTCAGATGTCTTAAGATGGTGTGATACAGAGTCTGGTGGGTTGGAGAGTGGAGGGAAAATGAGAGAGATAGGAGAAGGAACTTGGAAAACCCACCCACATTCAGGGCCCTAGGGATACTCACTTGTTCTTCAGTAACTTTCTCCACCTTTTCAGTGTCTTGGGGGACAACATGGCCTCCACTTCATCCATTTTGCCTTCATCAGGGAGGATGAAGAGGATACTGGCGTTATTTGTGTATTTCAGTTCCACTATGGTGAAGGAGAGCTTCTCATCCCGGAAATAAGGTATGAACTGGCTCTCAATTTTCATCATGGGCACCACCACAGACTTTTCCTTAGTTATATGGAACGAAGAGTTGTATGTGTCTTGAGGGTCAAAGGGTCTCTGCCATTTGCCTAAAGTTGAAGGAGCAAACAGTCAGAGACCTGGGTGATTGAAAGAGCTCTCTTCTCCTGTCTGCCTTTCTTCTTTGAACAAGGAAAGCCCTAGATACATCATCAGCCACCAGAGAGCTTCTTAAGGATGCAATTGCCTTGATTTGGAAAATGCCTTTGCAAGCAGTATACTGTGTAACCTTGATATGAATTTTATATCACAAAACATTTCAATAATAAGTATGTGTTTTGTTGTTGTTATGTCCCATCAAGCAGGCTCTTAATGACCCTTCTTACAATGGAATTGGTGTTGAGTTCACTGGTGTGCTTGAGCCCACAGTTGTAGCCACTGTATCAATGCATTTCCTCTACAAAAGAAAATGCTTAGTAAGGTACAATTCCCATGCCAAATACAGTCATGGCTTGGCGTTCTGGTGGCCTAAAGGCAAGAAGAAGTGCTATAATGGCAAAGGCACACGGTTCAAATCCACCAGCTTCTCCACAGGAAAAGGCTGGGTCATCTTCTCCTCTGCAATTAACTGCCTCTGAAAACCCATTGGAGGGTCAGCTATGGGTCAGTTCTGACTCAAGGGTACTCAACAACAACAACAAAGATAACAATAGTATTAACAATTTTTAAAGGTGGAGGAAAAATTAATCTCTATCTAAAAACCAATGTGGACCAACCCCTCCCACCAAATCCTCAACCTCACTGCCTTCTTGTCTGAACTGACTCATAGTTGACCCTCCACAGGCTTTCCAATGCTGTCAATTGCACAGAGTCCCTCTTTCTCCAGTGTTGATGGATTTGAACTGCCAGAGAGGTCGGGCTTCTGAGTAAGCAATGCAGATCCCTATAGACTGTTGCCAGAGCTGCCTGTGGGCCGCAGAACCTAAACTAGTTACAATATGGCCTTTTACAGAAACTCCACAACCTACGCTCAGGATTTGGATTTCTATTCTAGCCTTTGGACGTAGTACACATTCTTTATGATCAAAAACGGGAAAAGGGAATGTGGAGATGGTGTATGGCAAGTTTGAACTTCTGGCATTTACGTACACTGGGACAAATCACTCTGGTTTTAGGTCTTTGCCTCTTTAGCTAACAAGACTTCACCAACCTTTCAGAGCTGAAATTGAACAATATGATTGTAGGTGCCCATGCATGCTAATGTGAATTTTCTAACTCTTTTCCTCATCCTCTATAAATAGAATCAAATCCAAGAAGAGTCTGCTTTGGAGTGGCCATGCTTTCTCTAGCTTCATCTTGTCACGTGATCCCTCCCTAACTGTAGGCTTTTAAAGACCAGAATAGCAGCCCTTCCTCATCCCACACAGCTCTAGTTGGCTTCTCTGATTCCCTGAAGTGTGAAACACCAAATAATTAAGGTGAATCTAGTTGTAAAGACGAGACCTGCTAAGTGAAAGCTGGTGATGACTTGGGTCCACCAACACCTCCAGGAAAGAAGTCAGATAATCTCCTTCTGTGCAATGTGCAGTCTCAGAAACCCAATGGAAAGGCAATTATGAGTCAGTTCTGCCTCAACACAGTAAGTCACTGAGTGAGCGAGTGAGGGAGTGCGTTGTAGAGGAGGAAGCCCTCATGCACTGCTAACCCAAATGTTACATCCATCTGGTAGTTCAAATCCATCAGTGGCTCCAAGGAACCAAGATTGCCTGTCTCCTCCTGTGTGATCTACAGCCTGAGAAAACCAATGGAGAGTCAGCCTTAGAGGCAGGAGAGGAGGACACAATGTGTCAGTTGGAAGTTAATGAATAGAAAAATTTGGATGGAGTCTGAGAATGGCAATCAAGGTTAAGGGCTCAACAACAATGTAAAAGGTTGCCAAGTTGACCTCACCCAGATGTGCTTTGTAAAAAGGGCCTGGTTATGTACTTCCCCTCACATATTTTGGTCATGTTGCTGAGAGGGCCTATTCTTTGAAGAGGCACATGAAGCTTGGAAGGGTGGAGGGATGGCAAAAGAGAGGAAGCCCCTCGACCAGGTGGATTGACAGCATGACTGCTGCAATGGGCTCTAGTGTGTCAGGAAGTGTGAAGATGACACAGGAGAGGACAGAGTTGAGATCTGTTGTTCATAGGGTTGCTATGAGTTGTACTTGACTCAATGACACCTAACAAATACAACAGCAATGTACTTCTGGACGTCACAACTTTGAAAAATCTGTGGGGCAGGTATCCTTTACTTACATGATAACCTCCTTAGTCAGAACTGACTAGACCACAAACTACATCACCTGTAACTAAAACTAACACTTTGTGGGAACAAATGTTTGACTTGTGTCTGGAAAACTCTGTGCAAAGAGAAAAAGGCCATGGGCATGACAGGATTTGAGGGCCCAGCCACAACACCCTTGCTATGCATCTGAGAACTGGACAACGAATAAGTATAACAGAAGAAGAATTGATGTCTTTGAGCTGTGGTGTTGGAGAAGAGCGCTGAACATCCTATAGATGGCCAAAAGAACAAACAGATATGTCTTGGAGAGGATGCAGCCAGAGTGCTTCTTGGAGACAAAGATGATAAAGCTTCATCTCACATACTTCAGGCATATTACTAGGAGAAGCAATCCCCTGGAGAAGGATACCATGCTTGAAAAACAGGATCGGTGGAGGAAAGGAAGACCCTCAGCCAGGTGTATTGACACAAAGACTGTTGCATGGGCTCTAATATATCAAAAAGTGTGAGGATGGCACAGATAGGACGAGATTCAAATACGTTGTTCATAGGGTTGCTATGGGCTATACTGGACTTGATGGTACATAACAACAACCATCACTACCACCGCACACCCCTTTGCTTGAGGAGTCTTCCTATAATCACAGTTACTTCTGCGGGCACAAAAATAGCCGTCAGGCTCATAATTAAATCAATTATCTCTGAGAATCCCAATTCTGACTCACCTTTAAAGATCATGTAATTCACTAGGACCATGACAGTGTCAGGTTCAAGACTACTGATCAAGTTCAAAATTTCCCCTTGGGTTCTCTGATTCATGTAGTCATTGATGAGCTTTTCAGCAGAACTGACATTCTGGAAGTTGAGCTGGAAAATCTCAGCCCTGTACAACTTCTGCACATCCTTTTTGAACTTCCTCAGCAATTTCATTCCCTCCTGCACAAACATGGCATTGCCCATGCTCAGATACAAGTGATCACTGGCCTGTTTGGGAGTGTTCAGAAAAATGTGGAAGCCTTGATGGAATTCAGCCTCAGAGGTCTCTGTGAGCTTGTTGTTAAGGGCTTTGTTAATTTCTTCTTCGGTGTTGCCATGGGCCCCGAGGAGCAACACAGCCAAAGAAGTACAGACGCTTAGAGGTGAGAAGTAGATGTTGCTGTTAGGCTTCTTCAAAGTCAACACTCTATAGAGATTGAAGGCAAAGTTGTCATTGCTGTAGGCTAGTCTGAAGTCATCCTCATGGGTCTGGTCAGGGGGCTGGTTCTCCTGGATAAGTATGCTGTGTGAGTGACACAAGACAACAAGGCAGAGACCAGCCACCAACAATGCCAGGTTTAGGAGGCGTGACATGCTCTGAAAGCAAAAATCCTGTTTTAATTCATGGTACGTCAGAGGATTCTCTGAGACACACACACACACACACCACACACACACACACACACACACACACACACACACACACACACACACACACACGCTGCGTGTGAGACTCCCACACAGCCTTCCTCTGGCCTGGCTTCAGGGCCTGCTCTGTCACTTCTGGCCAACTTTATGCCTTCTATCAAGTGCATCAATAGGCACCCACCACCCATGATTACTTTTTGTGCTCCTTGGAGGAAAGAAACCCAGCACATAAGGTAAAAGGGCTTGCCTAAGAGCACAGCAAGAGAGTGCAGGTGGGAGAGTGAGACATCAGGTCTGTCTGACTCCTCTTTCTGGGAGCTGCCCAGTCAGAATCCCTTTCCCTTATATTCCCAGTGCAGAATGACTTCAATCAGAAGGAATTAGAAAACAAAGGTTCCTCTCCTCCACCACTACTGCCTGCCTCTGCTGGAGAAACAAGGAAGGATCCTGCACACAGACAGAACTGAGACCCTGCTAGCCCTCCTGCACAAGTTGGGAGGACTAAGCAGGGAGGCTGGGTGTGTGCTCCCATTGAGGGTCAAAGGAGAGAATCCACGGACAACAGAGAATTTCTGGAGGTGGGACCCCTGGGAAGGGCTGAAGAAAGTCCTAATGAAGGTGGGCGTTTCTGATGATCTACTACCGACATTCACAGTCAAACATCTCTTCTGAGTTTCTAAACTATGGGAAGGCCATGGGTAAGGCTTGACAGTGAAGCTTTATCTCACATGCTTTGGGCATGTTGCTAGGAGACAGGCATCATCCTTAGAAAGGTGGAGATACAGCCAAGGAGAAGAAGACCCTCAACCAGATAAATTGACTCAGTGACTGCAGTAATGGTCTCAAGTCTGTCAGAGATCATGAGGCTGTCACAGTATAGGACATGATTCATTCACTTCTGTTGTTCATAGAGTCGCTATGAGTCATACTTGACACAGCGGCAACTAACAACAATAACAATGCTAACTGATTCAGTTATTTTCTTTTTATACAATTATAGAAAGGCCACTTGGTGAAGAGGTGGTGGTGGTGGTTGTTAAGTGCCATAGATTTGACTCTGACTCACAGTGATGCTATGTACATCAGCTTTGAACCCTGATCTCTCCTGAGCCTATTTCATTCATTGTCTCTGACACATTTACCCCCACTACCCCAGTTACTGAGTCAGTCCATCTCATCCAGGGTCTCTTCTCTTGCACTGTCCTTCCACCCTTCCACACATGATGTCCTTCTCCATGGACTGGTCCTCCTGGCCACATGGGCAAAATATGTGAGATGAAGCTTCAAAATCTTTGCTCAAGTGAGCAGCCTGGTTTCACCTTCTCTAGAACAGATTTAGTTGTTCTTCTAGCAGTTCTTAGCATTTTCAATACTCTTCTCCAGCACTGCAATTCAGAGGCATCAATTCTCTTCTATCATCCTTAGTTAATGTCCAGCTCTCTGATACATAGCATGTAAATGTGAAGACCATGGCCTGGATCAGAGACTAAGACACAGCTTAGTCTCTGGACTGATATCATTGTTCTATAGCACTCTGGAGAGGTCCCTGACAGAAGATTTTACCAAGACAACCTTTTATTTCCTGGCTGCTGGTACCAATAGTGTTGATTGTGGAGCCAACAATCTCAATCTCTTCACCATCTATCATGATGCTGCCAACTGGCCCAGTAATGAGAATCTTTGTTTTCTTGATGTTGAGCTTCAATCCATACTGAAGGCTGCAATCTTTAACATTCTGCAGCAAATGCTCCAGGTCCTCCACAGTTTCAGCAAGCAAGGTTTTATCATCTGCATAACACAGGCTATTGATGAGTCTTCCTCCAATCTTGATGCCACATTCCTCCTTAAAGAATCCAAACTCTCAAGTAGTCTGTTCTGAATGGTCTGTTGTTGTAAATAGATTGAAAAGGTATGGAGATAGGATGCATACCTGGCATACACCTTTACTGGTTTTGAACCATGCACTGTTTCCTTGCTCTGTCCTAACAGCTGCCTCCTGGTCCACGTATAGGTTTCACATAAGCTCATTCAAGTATTCTGGGGTTGCCATTCTTCTCAGAATTAGCCATAGTTTGTTGTAATTCACAGAGTCAAATGCCTTTGCATAGTCACAGATAGATGTTCCTCTGGTACTTTGCTTTGAGCTAAGATCCATCTAATATTGTCTATAATGTTCCTAGTGCTACAACCTAGTTTACACATCTGTAAGTTCTCTGTTGATGTGCTGTTCCCATGATTTTTGGATCTTATCAGCAGGATCTTGCTTGCATGTGATATTAATGATACTGTTCATTAATTTCAACTCTCTGTTGGGTAAGTTTTTTTTAGAATGGGAATAAATATGGTTCTCTTCCATCAGTTGACCAGGCAGTTTTCTTCCAGATTTCTTGACACAACCTGGCGAGCCTATCCAGAGCAGCATCTGTTTGTTGAAATATGTCAATAGGTTTGCCATCAGTTCCTGGGGTCTTGTTTTTTGCCAATTCTTTCAGACCAGTTAGAACTTTCTCCTTCATTACCACAGGCTCTTGATTATATGCTGTTTCATAAAATTCTTCTGTGTCAGCCAATTCTTTTTGGTACAGTCACTCTATGTACTCCTTCTATCTTCTTTAGATGCTTTCTGGGTCATACATCATTCTGCCCACATCATCCTTAAGTAACGCAGTTCAAGTTTTGAATTTGTTCTTCAGTTCCTTCAGGTTAAGAAATGTTGAGTGAGTTAATCCTTTTTGATTTTTCAACTTCAGCTCTTTACACATTTCATTATAATATTTTGCTTTGTCTTCCATACTGCCTTTGAAATCTTCTGTTCAGCTCCTTCATACCTTGATTTCTTCCCTTTGTTTTGGCTTCTTGATACTATAGTGCAATATTCAGAGTCTCTTTTGACATCAATTTTGACCTTTTCTTCCTCATCTGTCTTTGCAATGACCTTTTACATTCTTCCTGGATGTCATTCTTGATATCTTCCCACAGCTCATCTGGTCTTTGCTTATTAGTCTTTAAGGCCTCAAACCTCTTCCTGAGATTGTCTTTAAACTCAGGAAGTATAGACTAAAGGTCAGATTTTGGTTCATGTGTATTTGATTTTATTTTCTTTAGCTTCAATTTGAACTTGCATACCAGGAACTTACCTGATTCACAATCAGTTTTCACAGCTACTATTGAGTTTCTCTAACAATTTTCTCCACATTTGCAATCAATCTGATTCCTGTGTAGGCCATCAGGTGAAGTCCATGTGCATAGATGCCATTTGTGTTTCTTATAAAATTTATTTGCAGTGAATAAAGCATTGATTGCACAAAATTCTATCATTCTGTCTCCAGCCTCATTTCTGTCATCAAGGCCAGGTTTTCTGACTATTGATCCTATTTCCTTGTTCCCAACATTTACATTCTAGTCACCCATTATTACTAATGTATCTTGGTTGTACGTTCTATAGATTTCCAATTACAGCAGTTTGTAGAAGTCATCTATTTCCTCCTCTTTGAGTCTGTTTGTTGGTGCATAAATTTGAATAAGGGTCATAATAAAAAGCCTTCCTTGTATGAATTTTGATAGTATCCTGTCACTCACAACATTGTTTTTCAAAATGGATCTAAAAATGGTCTTTTTAACTGAAAGCCACCTCATTTTCCTCAACTTTTCATTTCCAGCATAGTAGATCATGTGATTATCTGATTCAAAATGTCCCATGCCAATCCATTTCATTTCACCAGTGCCTAGTATGTCAATATCTGTGTGTTCCATTTCTTCCTTAACAATCTCCAATTTTCCTACATTCATACTTGTCACATTCCATGTTCAGATCACTCATGTCTGCTTGCAACTGTTCCTCCTCCTTTATTATATCCAATACAAAGGTTCAGCCTCAGGTGCCATATCAGTTAGTCTAATCTAAGTGTGCTCTGTTGTACATAGGGTTTTTGTAGGCCTATTATTTCAGAAGTAGGTGGCCAGGCCTTCTCCCTAGTCTCTCTTAATTAGGGTGCTCAGCTTTAAAGCATTGTTTGACAGACAAGCATTTTACCCAAGAGCTGACAAGAGTATGCAGGTAACAGATCAGGAGTTGGCCCTGGGGGGCCACCCCTTCAATCACTTGTATTGCATTCTCACCCTTACCCTGCCCTGCCAGCACCCTGCTCAATTTCCTCTCCTTGCCCCTCCAGCCTCTCCCATTCCCTTGACACCATCCAACTCTCGTTTGATGACTCAGGCCTCCCACAACCTCTGCTCTCCCATTTTGCCTCCACTTCCCTGTTATTTTGGTGCTCCTGGCACGGAGGCAGGGTTGGCCTCCACAAAGTGGGGGCAGTCTTGTTCTGGCGACTGGTGTGCACTGAAGCCCAGTAGTACTGCCCCAATATTTCTCTGCAGCTGAAGTATGAGACATGCCTACCCTTACAATACTGAGTTCAAAGTTCAGAGGCTTTCACAAACTAGATTCTTTATCTGAAACCTCCATTTTATGCCCACTCAAGTCTGTTTAGGGAAAGTCAAGGGTCAGAGTGGTTGGTAGGGAGAGGAGAGAAAGGGAAAGGAGGTGGCAGAAAGTGAGCATAGAAGAAGAGTAAAGGAGGTGAAAAGAGAAAGAAAAAGAGGATACTGGGAGGGGAAAAAGGAAAGAAAAAAGGAGAGAGAAGAGAGAAGAAGGGATGAGACGGGAGGCAGAGAGAAGAAAGAAGGAAGATAATAGAGAATAAATTATTTCCATCACAGAGGCCCATGGTATTCTAGTGGACAACCTCATGAACTTCTAGTTCTGTTGCATCATCTATTTCTCTACTCACAGGCTTAAATTCTGATTCAATAGTTTCTTTGGGGAAAAAGGCAAATCATTTTTCTAAAAGACATTATTTCTGGGGCAGAAGAGTTTGTTTGGGAAAGTTCTAAAGAAAGTTGGCTGTTTCCTAGTTTGGTTTGTCTATGACCAGACAAAGTAG